GGATGGTGGGAGAAAACTGAGGCTCCAACCTGTCTTTTTCACAAGGAATCTACTTGTGATGATAACTGGCCACAGACTGTACTAGCCACTCGAAAACAAGTTAGAATAAGGCTTTATCTCCAGGTATCAGAGAAACAGCTTCAAGTCAAGAAAGTCAACCTTGACACAATGTGAGTTTACAGATAATTGCTTTGGGGATTTAACTGTTTTACTAAGAACCTATAATCAGATATAGTAAGCCAAGAATGAAATTAAAGGATATAGGGAAGGAAAAGGGTTGGAGTTTTTTTTTTTCCTGTAAGTTAATTCCTTCACTCTTTCTGTCTCTGAAGTGTTAACTGACTTTGGGTTATCATAAGTTGAGGGTATTTGTTATTGTTGTTTTTCAAATAAAGGGAATTATTTTTAAAATTTGTTCTCTGCCAATCCAAATTTTACAACAAAGCTTTTTGTCCTCTGCAGGGCAAGAATTACAATTGGCATCATTCCAAGAATGTTCTCTACACCTTCGAGAAACATTTTGCTTTCAGATCTCAGTTCCCATCTGCTGGTGTGAAAACACACACACACACACACACACATACACACACACACACACACACACACACATATAACATCTTTTTTATTTTTATTTTTTTTAAGGATAAGAAAAGCTTTAACTGGAGGTAGAGAAAGGAGAATAGTGTCCTAAATTTACATGGAATCACAGAATCTCAAAGATGAAAGGGATCTCAGGAATTATCTAGTCCAACTTAAATTTATCATTGAGTCTCCACTTGGAACACCTCTAGTGACAGGGAACTCATTAGCATTCCAGGAAGCCTATCCCACTTTGGTACTGCTCCAGTTGGCAGGAAGTTTTCCTTATATCAAGATAAAAGACAGCCACCTACAATTTTCACCCTGCCTCCTAATTCTGCCCTCTAAGGCCAGGCAGAACAAACCTAACTCGTCTTCTACGTGATACATAGCTTCTCCAGTTCATTCAGTCTATGAAACTTCTGAATGATATTGTCCTTCTGCATAACACATTTTTATGATCCCCTTAATTGTGGTTCATTGGTTATTTATTTAATCTACATATATTTCATTTCTAATCATCCACAAAAGCAGTTTTCTGACTTTTCAAAGAAACTCTGGAAAAGAGTCTATAAAACAGAATGAAGATTGTTATAAGACACTAGCTGTGTAACCCTGGGCAAGTCACTTAACCCTGTTTGCCTCAGTTTCCTCATCTGTAATATGAGTTGGAGAAGGAAATGGCAAACAACTCCAAGAAAACCCCAAATGGGGTCACGAAGTGTCAGACACAATTGAAAAATTATTGAACAACCAAAAAGGGTCAAATCAAATTCATTCATTTCTTAAATCACTATTTGCGGGATACTGTGCTAAGCACTGAGGACATAAAGAAAAACAAACAGAAAAATGTCCCTGCTCTCAAGGATTTTATAATCTAATGGGGGAGACAATACACAAATAATTAGGTACAAACAAGACACAGAAAGAATAAATTAGAAATAATGTTAGATGGAAGGAACTAGCATTAAGGTAAATAATTCAATTCCTTGATATGGTGATGTAATTCTACCTTCAGGAAAGGTGAGGCTCCTGCTATACTATAGCAGCAGTAATCAACAGTTAATAAACATTTGATGCTTGATTTAACAGCATCAAACAGTCTACATTTCTCTCTATATTTATTTTGGTATGACAGACAGTCAGAGAAACAGAAACTCCAAGTTCTTAAGATTATTTTTTTTGGTGGGGAGCCATGTTCAAAGTTTAATAGTTAAGGAGGTAGCATGGAAAAAGTATTGGACTACAAATGAGAAAATCAGAGTCTAGCTTGAGCTCTGACTTATTGGTGCTTAAAAAAAATCACTTCATTTTTCTGGGCACCACTTTGCTAATCCGTAAAATGGAAATAATAACATTTGTACTCATAGGATTGTTGTGCTTAACAATGTATGCAATGTGCCTTCCAAACTAAAAAAAAAAAAAGTACAATACTGAAGCAATTATAATTAATAATAAAATAAAATAGAAACATCAATCACTGAAATTCAATATAAGTGCCTAATTAAGATTCTGTCAACTACAAATGTCAGCAGTTGCCCAAAATAATATTGATTAATACATGTAAATGCAAAGGACTGAATCATATCTAAATACATCTGCACTACAGGTATACAGCTTTCTCGTCACTGGTTAGAAGACCACAATTAAATAGTCATTGAAAATTCACAACAGAACTAGGGTCAGAGGCTACATGCAATTCTACCTACCCAGGAGGCTTAGGCTAGTGGATCTTGTGAGCTTGAGAATTCTGAGCTACACTGGGCTATGCTCATGGGGTGTCTGCTGCAAATCTGACATGAATATGGTCAGCTCCCTCAAACCAGCCTAGATAGAAGCCAGAGCAGATCAAAGTTCAGTAGAGGGGATTAGGCTGTGAGCATTTCCGGCCTAGGTGAAATGGGAAGAGAAGGAAGGGAGGAAGGGAGGAAAGAAAGTGGGAAGGAGAGGAAGAGGAAGGAATGAAGGAAGAAGGACTGAAGGAAGGAAGGAAAGTTATAAATTCAAATCCTTCTAGCATCATTGGGGAAAAAACTCTGCCAGCGGCCATAGCTTCTGCAATGGACTCTAAATCCAAGCCAACCATCTTGCAAAGACATGACCTTGATCACCAGAGACACTAAGCAATGTAATATGGGTAGTTTGGCATGAACACATCAGAAGTGATGAAAGTGAATCAATAGTATCATCTTAGATGGCAAGCACAAACTCAGTTTCTAAATCAGAAAGTAAGATAAACCTAACAAGAGAGAAAGGTCAAAGGGTATTAGAATACAGCACAGTGTCTATAGACACTGATGCTAACAAGAGTAGTGATAATTAACTCTGACACCATCTATTACAATACAGACTTTTTGAAGACTATTTGGCTGCAAGCATTAAGACCAAATCTTAATGCAGAAATTCAAAAGGATGAGAGAGAGAAAAAAAGGCCAGTCCTGTGAAAAGAAAAATAACTAATGCAAAAACGAACACCTGTCACATCTTTGGAAGATGCTAAAGCAGAGGACTGATAATTTACTCAGGTGATTTTCTTATTAGGACAACTGTGCTCTCATAAAACTTGTTTTATTATAAAACAAATCCATTTCATTTGCAAAAACATCAGGAATAATAACAGTATCCTTTCAATCAGCAATCCCCATCTATATTGGATTTAACCATTAAATCTTAAATAACAACAGTAGTTGACATTCAAACAAGTACTTCTCTCCTAAAAATCATGTAAGGATAAGCAGCATAAGTATGATCACCTATCCTATTTTCATTCCCTCCCTCTTAGGAGAAACTTACTTCAATTTAAATCAGGAAACATTTATTAAGTGCCTATGTGTCAAGTTGTATAGGGGAAAGAACTCCAGACTTCCGGTTGGGAGACATGGATTCCTATCTTGTTTTCAATATTTCTTTGGTTGAATGACTCTAGGCAAGATTCACTCTGGGTCACAATTTACTCATCTGTAAAATTAGAATAATTAGTACTTACGCTAACTACCTTATAGAATTGTCAGGTATACATGTAGAACATGCTCAAGTTCTCTAAAAATAAGTTATTCTCATGATGACCCCTTATTTGTTAAATCCAAGGGACTTGTCTCAATCCTTAACCTTCTTGACCTCTATAACATCTGACAATGAATATCCACCTCATGGATACTTTCCCATATGAGAGCTTTTGTGACATTGCCTGAATGACTAATTCTCTCAATATCCCCTGCTGGGATCTATATTCTTCTATATTCTTTCTATGCACTAACTGTGGGTATACTCCCCGGGTTCTATCCTAGGCTCACTTCATTTTACTATCTCACTTGGAGATCTCACCTGTTCCCATGAGTTTAAGATGTTCAAATCTCTATCTTCAGCCCTGGTCTTTCTTCTGAGCTTCAGTCCCCCATTACCAACTGTCTATTAGATATTTCCAACTGGATTTTCCCCATAGGCAAGACAAATTCAACATGTTCAAAACAGAATTAAATATCTCCCCAAACCCACCCCTTTCTCAAATTCCCTGTTTTTGTCAAAGGCACCATTATCCATCCAATCACCCAAGTTTACACCTTCAGGATCATCCTCGATAATTCCCACTTCCTCACCTCATCTATCCAATCAGCTGCAAAGTCTTGTCGATTCTACCTCCACAATACCTCTCCTATCTCTCCCCTTCTCTCCAGTGATGGGCGACCACCCAAGTTCAGATCATCTTATCTGGATTACTGCAGCTGCATCACAGCTGGTCTCCCTGATTCAAGTCTCTCCCCTCTCCTATCCATCCTTTACATGACTCCCCAAAAAATATTCTTGAGGCACAGAGCTAACTATGTCATTCCCTTATTCACTAACCTCCTAAGTAGCTCTCTATTACCTCTAAAATCAAATAACAACTCCTATTTTTGGCATTTAAAGCCTTTCACAACTTAGCTCTAACTGATCTTTCTAGAATCATTACAAATTACTTCCCTTCTTGCACTCTGTAATACAGCCAAACTAGTTGTCTTCTTATCCCTCATTTACAACATTCCATCTCCTTCCCATGTGCCTATACCCCATGCTTGGAACGCACTCTATCCTCACTTCTGTCTCTTAAAAGTCCATTTCCTTCAAGGCTCGGCTCAAGGGCTACCTCCTATCTGAGGCCCGTCCTAATCTCAGTTTCATCTGGCACTCCCCAAATTCACTTTGTCTATGTTATTTCCGTTGGTTCCCAACCCCAATAGAATATAAACTCCTAAAGGTCAGGGACTTTTCTATCTTGTAGTATCTTAGCACAGTACCTTGCACATAGCCCATGCTTAGTAAATGCCTACTAGATAAATGAATTTACATGGAGGCTTCACAAAGGAGTCCTCTGACTCTAAATCTAGCATTCTTTCCATTTCACCACACTGCCCAGAAGTTCCTTTTTTAAAAGTCCAGATATTGTGCTTACTTCGGCAACACATATTCTAAAATTGGAACGCCACAGAGAAGATTAGCATGGGCCCTGGCAAGGATGACATGCAAACTCATGAAGGTCCCATATTTAAAAAAAAAAAAGTCCAAATCTCCTGATGTGCTTAAGATGACTTGATTTACAAAAGAATCAGCTTACATCAAACTTTTCAGGAATACATATATTGCAAAAAAAAAAAACCCAAAAACCAGAAAGATACCTGTTTATGACCCATAACTAAAACAAGTATCTTCTGAAATGTCACTAGAAATATAAAAAGCTTCTGTTAGCCTCTTTATTATCTCCCTATCCTTAACATAGCCCTACTGATGTGTACAGAAACTATGTAGCAATTTAGGATTCATTTTTTCCTTTTCTGATTCCCTCTAACCAAAGTGAAGAAATTGTTTAAAACAATTCACGGCCCACAGAAAAAAATCAAAGGGCTAATAAGTCCTCACTATCTTGAGACCATCCTAATGAATGAAAGTGGGGATTTGGAATGTGCTCCACTTCTGGTGTGCTCAACTTCTGACTGCAGAGATTATGACCAGATGATGCAGAGTGTGTTTTCTGAAATGAACTGTGCAATCCTGACTCAGGCCAGCTCCCATATCTGGCAGATCTTATTGTTGTTTAGTCATTATCAGTCGTGTGCAACTCTTCATGACCTCTTTTAGGGTTTTCTTGGCAAAGATACTGAAATGGTTTACCATTTTCTTCTCCAGATCATTTTACAGATGAGGAAGTGAGGCAAACAGAGCTAAGTGACTTGCCCAGGGTCACACAGCTAGTAAGTGTCTGAGGACAAATTTGAACTTGGGTCTTCCTGACTCGAAGCCCAGCACTCTATCGACTGTACTACCTAGCTGTCCGCTGGTAGACTGTTAACATCACCCAAATTATCCTGTGTCCTAGAGGATCCTGAGAAGTATCCTAGGCTATTTTTCTGGTGTGAAGAACACAGCTGTAATTTGGGCTGTAGGCATTCAGCTGCTACTTGTTGGTTATTCTCTTCTTACACACTTCTGCACTTCCATTCCAAAACTTTTGATGGCAAACTATCCACCCTGACAACCCCAAACCCAAGAAGAGATATGGAAAAGAAGGAAATAAATAAAGAAAAAAGGTCCCAATCCTCTAGACCTCCTCAAATTACTGACACCCTTTACTCAGTCTCTATCTCTCTCTCTCTTTTTTTTGTAATTTTTGCTTTTTGGTGAGGCAATTGAGGTTAAGTGACTTACGAAGGGTCACACTGCTAGTAAGTGCCAAATGTCTGAGGCCGGATTTGAACTCATGCCCTCCTGACTCCAGGGCTGGAGCTCTATCCACTGCACCACCTAGCTGCTCCTAGGTTCTCCTGAAAACTGCAGACACTCAGTCTGATCTCTGCTTGTAATATTGAATAGTACTTTATCCCAGACTCAGCCTCTCTCCCAGCCTGGATCCCAGACTCAATCATCCGCCTCCAGGCCATCCCCTGCTCTCCTATACCTGGGAATAAACAGTTCAGAGATGAGACAGAGGCCACCTTCCTCAGCCTCTTCTGCCCCTCAGTCCTGCAGAAACTTTTCTCTCCCACCAAAATCACATAGCCCCATTCCCTCCCATTGCGTTCATTAACTATGGTAAAATGTACTGAACATGTATTTGTAGAAACCTGTGCTAAGCACAGGAAATACAGAGATGCATAAAACACAGCCTTGCTCTTCAAGGGTTTATAATCTTGTTGCTGAAATAAAGCATACGCCAAAAAGTATACATTAAAAAATAAGACAGTGTAAGGTAAAGATGACTAAATAGTATAAATGACTAAATTACTATCGTGGGTTAAGTTTAAGTTTAAAATAAGAAAACCTGGATTTGGAGATGAGATTTGCTACTTATAACTTGCATGACTTTGAACAGTTCCTTTAATAATATTTCTGGGCCTCAGTTTCTTCATTTGTAAAGTGAAGAAAGGAATATTAGATGACTTCTAAGGTCCCTTTCAGTTCTAAACCTATTATTTCATGACCATCCGGTTCATTCGCTTTGCTTCTCTGATGGGAAAACAGACCCACAGAGGTTAAGTGTTTTGACAAAGTTTATAAGTAATTGATCTGAGGTAAGTATTTAAGTCCCCAGACTCTTAGAACAGTATTCTTTCCACTAGATGTGCTGCCTCCATTTGAAACAAAAATAATTTTCCTTTTATCCATACCTACAGAATTTGGGTCTTATTCATAGGTTGGAGGTTATCTTCCAACATGGACAGTTTTAAACTATATTGTGGCAAAGAACTAGTAATTGGGGAATGCCCATCAACTAAGGAACAGCTGAACAGGTTGTATATGATTGTGATAGAAACTATGGTGCTGTAAGAAATAATGAGCTTGATGGTCTTAGAAAAACATGGATAGACTTGCACAAAATAATGAAGAGCAAAATAAACAGAACCAAGAGAATGCTGTATACAGTGACAGCAATATTGTTTCAGGGACAACTTTGAGTGACTAAGTCATTTTGACTATTGTAAAATATTCAAATTAACTACAAAAGACATATAAAGGAATACGCTATCTGTATCCAGAGAAAGAACTATAAATAGAAGTATGTAGAGAATAGTTTTACACACACACACACACACACACACACGTGTGTGATGGTAGCCATGGGGGGATGAAAAAAAAGAAATTTACATGATAACTTTATGATATATTTAAAAGGAATAGCAAGTTGTACATAATAGATTTGTAGTTTCAGGTGCAATCATCTTTTTTAATATACTGTTGTAGAAATGCTTGTATAAATTAAAAATAAAATAATTATATAAATAAACTATATCAGAAGAAAGGGACTAAGAAAATGTTATGGTTCAGTTTGGAGTAGTTAATTGGAACTACAGTCACAATAGATGTGCAAAGGCCAACTACCCCACAGAAAATACCATAACAGCATATAACAGATTTTTTTTCCCATTGGACTCCCTGGCCAGGCCCTTGGTGGCCGGTCACTGCCTGAGCTGCCAAACTCCTTCTCTCAGATCCAGAGATAAAACCATTTCCCCCATTCAACCTGATGAAAGGCATGCAAATACAGAACAACGGAACAAAAATGAACCTGAAAGTTAGAAAAGCATAGTTCTACCTCTGCTTAAGTATTCCTGTAGTATAATCTCAGTCTAATCAGTTAGGTACTCAGTTCTTGGTTTTCCCACTTCTAAAATGGGGATCTCTATATTCTACCCTTACCTCACACAGATGAAGGTCAGTGAGTCAAAGGCAGTGAGGATGAATTGTAAACATGATACCTTAAAATATGACAAAACCTTCTATTTCCCAATATGGAATCACCTGATAGAGGAGGACTTTCAAATCATGTTAAATACCAGAGCTACCACCTTCCCCGGAGTAAATACATGTGAAGATAGACAACCTAAAATAGCCATCAGTGAAGACCAGAGACAACAAATATTCCTTGGAATGACCCAACTGGTCATTCTCAATATTAGTTCTCAAATAACTTCTTCAGCAATGACACACTTTCCAATTTCCAGAGAAGTAATGCCATTTTTGTTGTTGTTGAGAAATCTCTCACCCATTTTTTTTTCCCCGACAGATCCTGGCTTTAAAAAAAAAAAAAGCTTTGTCTTTCATCTTCCCTTCATTTCTGTGCTTTATACTTCAGGAGTAAAGAAACCCTTAAGAAGAAAATTCAGCCATCAACTGTTCTTTCATTCTTCTTCATAATCTAAAACTTTCATCTGAGGTGCTCAGAATATGCTTTATTAGTGACACCTTAGGGAAAATGTACTTTTTTAAAAAGTGTACAGTATTTCCTGGATACTACTCTAATCTCTTTTGCTCAATGAGCCGTATTGCAGTAAACCTATATATTGGATTTGTGCGTGTGTGTGTGTGTGTATACATATGAATATATATGTATGTATGTGAGGAGAGAGAGAGAACCACTTTATATATGATATAGATACACACACAAATGCACATGCACACACATGCTTGCAACGCACCTGCATGCAATTAGGGTTAGGGCATATGCACGAGCACACACACACACACACACACACACACACACACACACAAACACACAAAAAATTTTCCTCCTCTGGTGGAAAGTCCTTGTGCCCTGGAGACACGTGTCCTCCAAATAGTGAAACTAAGCTCTAGCCAGTCACCTAAATCTAAAGTACTGTCACTAACAATAGCGTCACTACTTTAGTCTTGGTCTAGCTAGCACCTCCAAAGGAACACGTGGTCCTGACCTAGAAAGGCACTGAAATCCTGATGTGCTGACTCATCACAAAGACTGACATTTGACATGTCATAAAAGCTTCCTCTTTTCTAGAATCTGTAGAGGAACCAAAAATACACATCAGGTGTTCCACAATGGTCAAGCCAGTTCCACCTTTTTTTAATGAGTTCAGACAGATTTCTGCCCCCCACCTCCCAAAAAAGTAATACAGACTTGCAGCGATTATATAAGGTCTTGAGAACATAAAGCCAACTTTCTCAAATCTGCTTAGTGGCCAAAAGAAAAAAAAATAAAAAAAGTTTTATGACTGAGTCATACTAAGAAATGGATAAAATACACAAGTAATGCTGAGGCTCACTTTAGTTGAAAATAACTCAAGAACTGTGTTTAACTCTATCAGGGATTTCATGTTTAAAAGACTATTATAACAGAGATTCTTAACCTGGGGATAGGTTTCATGGGGGTCTGTGAACTTGTATGGAAAAAACAATGATATCTTTATTTTTTCCAGGATCTAAATGAAATTTAACATTTCCTTCAATCTTTTAAAAACATTATTCTGAGGAGTCCATAGATTTCACCAGACTGCTAAAGGAGTCCATGACATTAAAAAAAAGAAAGATTAAGATTAAGAACCCCTGTTTTACATGGAATGAACAATATTGTTTGCCTAGAACATGACATTTTGGTACTCTTTTTGCGACATGGCTAATATGGAAATATATTTTGCATGACTTCACATGTAAAATTGATATATTTTTTGCCTTCTCATGGGTAGGGGAGGACCTAGAGGGAGGGCATTTGGAACTCACTTTCAAAAAAAAAGGGGGGGGGATG